TTTAGTTGTCCATTTTGACAAATCAAGAAAGGACAACAAATTTTTTCCTATTATACCCTTATTTACACTTCTTGAAAATTGTAAAAGTGTATGTTGTTTCCCTCCAATTTATTTCACTTGAATTCAAATAAGTGGTTGTAATTTTGAAGTGAAAAGTTGTCATAAGGGTAAAATTGTAACTTCACTGTGCTAATCATTGTTGCCTTAATCTGTGTGCCATTTCTAAAGTGGACAACTAGAAAGGGACGGAGGGAGTAGTTATTAATCAGTATTTCTGTGTGCAGAACTGTAAGATTCATCATTCCGTGGTTGGACTCAGATCATGCATATCAGAGGGAGCAATTATAGAAGACTCACTTTTGATGGGGGCAGATTACTATGAGGTAATGCTAATAATTCTTAGATTACCAGAAAAGATATCTAAAACTAATATACACGGGAACATGAATTTAACTTTCTTCGCTTATTAAACTTGTTGTATATATGTTCTACTGCGGAGCAACTTGCCTTAAGAGTCAAATTACACATGATAAAGAAAATACTGAGCTTGTGGTTTCCTTACTGCATTCACTTATTATAACGGACTCACTTTCTGACCCATTTTTGGTTCAGACTGATGCTGACAGGAAGTTGCTGGCTGCAAAGGGCAGTGTCCCAATTGGCATCGGCAAGAATTGTCACATTAAAAGAGCCATTATCGACAAGAATGCCCGTATAGGGGACAATGTGAAGGTTAAATTCCTTAAACTTTCACGCTTCTGACTTATTGTCATTTAAACATGCAATAGGCGTGTAATGTTTTTTCTCGACATCATGTGTTCAGATTCATAGCATTGATTTAGTCATCGTGTCATATGGATCTTTTCTTCATTATCTGGGCGATGTACAGTGATCATGAATTCCTAATGAGTAATTTTCTTTTGTCAGATCATTAACAAAGACAACGTTCAAGAAGCGGCTAGGGAAACAGATGGATACTTCATCAAGAGTGGGATTGTCACCGTCATCAAGGATGCTTTGATTCCAAGTGGAATCATCATCTGAAGGAATGCGTTTTAACTTGGTTGTCCTCCAAGATTTTGGCTAAACAGCCATGAGGTAGAAACGTGCTGAACTTTTATTTTCCTGAGCTGTAGAAATCTAGTGTACATCTTTCTGTTATGATACTTCTCATTACCCCTACAAGAGAAGACTGGATGCTGTAAAAATTATTCGTCTAGAATAAAAAATAAATTACCCAAAAATCTGCTTTGATCTCACTTTTGCTTTAAGTTTACTCGTGTTTTTATCTCTGTATGGTTATAGTGAAAAGGAATTATTTGTTATTAATCAATTTTCCTGCTCGTGCGTTTAGTAATCACCAGGTCTTCTGATGGTTTTTGCTTCAGAGGGAATTCGGATTAGTCAGGTTCCAGTGTGGATAATGTTATCTCCTGTATTCAAATTAACAAACCAGAAATAATAAAAGATGAAAAGAAAAAACACAAACAACTATCCGAGTCCACAAAACTCACTGTGTGTCCTTAAGAAATTTAATCCCCTCAATTACCCGAGTTGTAGATTAATTTCTCCCAAGATAAAACGGATTAACCATTAAAGAAGTTAGCGGTACCTCAAACTTCGATAAGTTTCTAACGAAACTCAAAATGACAACAACGAATCACACACACAGACACGATCAATTTTGTTTTGTAAGAAATGTATGCAAAAGAAGGGAAAAATTCGATGCAGAAAAATGAGAGAAAACCTCTCTATTTATAGCCAACAAAGGGTAAATGTCACAACCCTTTGGAAAGAAGACAACCTTTCAGAAAGGTCATAACACTTTGAAAAAGGCACAACCTTTCAAACGGTCACAATCCTTTAGAAAGGACACAACCTTTTATAAAGGTCACAACTCTTTAGGAGAGTCACAACCCTTCATTTCCTGTTCACACCTTTAAAATCCAACATATAATTGACAGAGAGTGGGAAAACCCATATCTTTCACCACGTAATATGTATTGAATCATGCTTTAGAATACTCTCATACAAGAAATATTGCAGAATGACTTTGAAGAAAAACATCAGAAAACAGCTATCAAATTAGAGTTTATGCACGTTGAAGAGAAAATTACTTGCTATATATAGAAGAAGATGAAAAAAAAAAAAAGAACACTGTTTCTTTAAATTTAGCTAGAAAAAAAATGATCAATCGGAAACAAGCATCTCAAAAGGAGACAAGCCATCAAAAGAGAGTCCTCAGTTCTTGCTACTGTTCTTCTTACTAACACCAGCAAGTACATTAGCTATTGCTGCACCAATACTCAAACTCTTGGCAGTTTTTGTATCTTTGAACTCCGCCTTTTTCTTCTCCTTCTCCTTCTCCTGTTCCGTTGTCTCATAGAAGCCATCAAAGGATGGAGTAATAGTGAGTGCTTTGTTCTTGCCATTGTTGCTTTCACCAACCCCTACATTATCTGTTGCTGCACCACCTTTTGTATCTGTTGAATTCGCGTTCTTCTTTTCCTTCGTTGGGAGAGGCGATGGCAGCTTGACACCAAAGTAATCAGTACAAATAGCCCAATTTTGAAAGAGAGACATTCTGTATCAAGATTTGTTTACAAGAGTAATTCTTGAAGATGGAAATATAATGAAAGTAGTCATAAGGTATATATAGAGAAGAAGAAATTTGAGTTTTAACCAAATCTGGAATGAAATAGGAGTTGATTAACAAAACCGAGTTTTAGTTGGAATTGGGAAAACGAGTAGCTTAATTTTATTCCTGCATGGAATAGGATTTGATTTCTCTTTAGTTAATCGTGTAAAGGTTTTTTAAAATTTACTTTTTGTAAGGTAGCACTTTAACTGCAATTCATATTTAGTCGGGCTCCAATATGGGTATTGGATATAAAAAATGAGTCCAACTATCTATCCAACCCGTCAAGAATTTTAAGAGTTGGGCTCAAGATAATTTGAATTGGGTTCAATCTCAACTAATTCAAGCCTTAACCAATTTTAAGAGAATTCTCAATTGAGCCCAATTTAATCTCTAATATCAACTCGTTTTAAGACTTTTTATTTGCATTGATGTAATGTATGTTTGTTATATTGAAGATATGGATTACTATTTATTTTATATGTTTTGGAATTTATCTATCCATTTGTACCTTCTTCTTTTTTAAATTTTCTTCCGTTGAAATTCAAAAATTGTGGTTATAAAACTTAAATAACAATATATTAAAATTATTGAGATTAAGAGGATAAATTGGGTGGGTCAAGATCCAACCAGTTTTTAAGCCCATTTGAGTCCAACTCATTTTTAGTTCAAAGAAAACTTGGACGGGTCAAGACCCAACCCAATTTCTATTTCAACTCATTTTAATATCTCCAATTTCTATCCAACCCACCAATTTGATACCCCTAGTATCGGACAACCGATAAGAAACCCAAAAAAATAAATAAGATGAGAGTAGAGAATAATAGTTAAGAGGTCCTAGTGGTAGTCATCCTCATCACTTTCTACATAAAAAAATATTTACTCAAAATGTTTATGTAATTCATACACAACTAGAGTTCAATTGTAAAGTTGCTTTGTTGTTTATCAACAAGTTTTCTCACGGATTGCCCTTATTTTAGGTGTTTTTCAATTTTTGCTCTCAAACATGATAGTTTTAACTTTTTTTCCCTGCTCACTTAATTAAAATTTATAGACCAAACTATCTTATCTATGACCTAATTTTGTAAGGCATAAATTAATAGATTTTTTGCTCTGTCCGGTGCAAGTTTTATAGAAATTAAGTTATATGGTACAAATTATGTAATATCTAACTCGTTCAACATAAATTTAGACAATGTTTTGTCTTGTCCAGCATAAGCTCGGTACAAATAAGTTATGTCTCTTATCTTACGACATAACTTGTGGATTCTATAGGAATAAACGTTGTGATTCCATGCTATTACAAACTTTCAAATATACTTGATTTAAAAAGATCCATTTGTCTACTAAATAAACAATAGTTTAACTAACTACTCTTTAACATAATCCTTTTAAAATCACAAACTTGAAATTGAAATTCTATTTTTCAATAGAATTTGAAATTTGAAATCTAAAATCAAATGTCAAAGTTTTGCTCAAACATCATAAATAAACACAAACTCCAAATTAAAATTTCAATTTTGAACTCCAAATTGCATGGGCATATGGGTATATCAACAAAGAAATAGCCTTAACATATAGTTAATATAAAATCTTTTATGAACAGCTATACTAAAACAACTAAATAAGCCTCGAGTCTCCCTACATAACTTTGTTGAATCGAGAACTCAAGGGGTAGGAAGCTATAGTACCAACGGAAATTCGGATGAGCCCAAAAACTTTTATCGAGCCCAAATAACCCATGTTTGGTGACTACAACAATGCACCCCCCCCCCCCCCCGGGGGGGGGGGGAGCTACACCTTAGCGAGGATGGTTAGATGAACAACCTTTATCGGAAAATTTTGACTAGTATATGTATTAAATATCGATATTTTTGGATGTATACTAATTATTGAATACCCTTGACATAATAAAGAAAGATAGCATAATGGTTAAGGCTGTTCAAAGTCACCTTAATTAATGGCCTGAGTTTGAACTGCAGCATAAAGAAAGAGGTGCTCGAAAAACAACCAAACATGAACTATTTCCCTTTCAAACTATCCATGTATCAACTATACTTGTATTCTTTGACAAGTAGCGGGTACATAATACATTAAGCTAAGATTTATAAGGAAATTTCCCTGCAGTGATCAACCAAAGAACACATTGGTAAACCCCATAACAACATTATGTTCATCTTAACAAATAAGTAGCTACAACTAATTCTAATTTTTTACTCCTCAAAACTGACCTGCTTGCTCGATGAAGAAGCGATCCACAAAAGAGAAAAAAGAAAGGTACTCTTCGTCACACATTTGAATCTGGATATCACAAAGCAATTCCAACATTTCACTAGTTTAGCAAAGAACTCCTGGTCAAACTCGACCACCATATTTAGAGCACATTTGTTTCCATTTGTCCTTGAGATCAGTTGGAGTGCGAGAATGATCAAACACATGATGACCAAAGTCTAGAATTTTTCTCCATGGGGTGTTTTTGTTTACTTTGGATGAGAATTTTTGAACTCCTTCCTGCAGCCACAACATGCATAATTAACTCAGGAACTCAGGCATATCAGCAAATGAATCAGATAACTGCAAACAACAGCGACAAACCACTTTTCTGCTGACACTGCACACAGAAAACCAGTGGGTTGCCTCAACCAATCTAGGTTTTAGGCTTATGAGACTTATATTGCCACCATTCAATGCATCACAAGAGCCTTTTGAGCTTCATGAATCAGTCAAGATTTGCCAGTGATGCCAATTGACATGAACAATATGAACCACTACACTATGTGCATTTACAGGCGCATCAATGTTGTCTCAATACTTCGTAAATTTTAAAGCAAGCATGTGGTAACGGATTATCCGTCTCAATGGAACTGTTCTTTAACATATTTGTCCAAATAAATAATTATCATCTGTGATACGAGAGCAAGGTTACTATTTAGGATTTTTTGTTTCCTTTGCTATAAGCAGACTTTTGTTCTCCTCTCTATACCTACTATACAAGTGCAGGCTGTGCAGCACATTTTTCACAATGCAGGGATAAACAACGGGAAATTTCCTTATCCCAACCAAAAAAAACAAACAAACAGGAAGTTTGGTAAGTGCAGAATTTTACAAGGTTGATACAAACAAACAAACAAACAAACGGGAACCTTGTAGGATGATACAAGGTTGCCCTTAACAGAGGGTCAAGGATGAATTATCAACATAAATTTTTTCATTTTTGCCCGTCCTATTGACTGTTTTCACTTTGCAGTTTGTGATCTCTCTTTTTTCTTCTTTTAGTTTTAAAGGTGGTGGTAAACCAGCTTGGGAAAATGGATAATTATTGCAATACGCAAGAATAACCACAAGAAACCATATATCTAAAGTCTTCTTATTCTTTCTCCATTACTTTCCCATAAGTATTTTATGCACACTCATTTGAGCAGAATTTTACAGGAAAAGAGAGACTGAAGAGCATAAAATTAAGTCATTTCGTGCCATTGAAGCAATTATAAGAAACTCAGTTGTTAACACCTCACACACGACAAGCCAAATCAATAACAAAGTCTGTAAGATGTCAATGCTGCACAAAACATATGGCTTTTTAAGCATAAAGAACCTTAAAAATGTTACGTTGAATTAAGGAGACAGAAGTGAATTTGCAAAAACTATAACAAAAAAAAATGATGAAGAAGAAGAATTGGTGGTATGAGGATAGCATTATCAAAGTTCAGTCGACAAACTTAACCCAAATCATTGTTAATCAAGTCAGTACCTAGTAAGTCTAAAAATATAGATGTCAGATCTTCCAACGTAAGGACACTACCGAAACAAACCTATACAATAGAGACTCCTGGAAATGTACCTCAATCATCTCTTCCTCTTCGCTACGCCATAATACTCTTCTACGTTTCCCATTTGGAAGGATATCTGGTCTGCAGCAGAAAATAAAGTTGAAATTATTATTTGTTGAAGAATGAATAGGATAATTTGCTCAAACTTAAAATAAATTTCATTGAAAAGATCACTTACAACATGGAAGGGTGTTTAACTTGCACAAACATGCCCGCTGCATTACCATTCTCAAGTAAGGAAGCTGATTTCCTAGTTAACATTCTTGGAGAGTCAGTCAGCATATGTTCATCTTTAACTTTCTTAACCCGTTTACCACACTCACGTTGTGTTGAAACACGCTTAGATTCTCCACATGTTAAATCCGCAGTTTCAGCTCTTCTTTTACCATGCAAGTGCTGCTGCAACGAAGGATCTGTGTATACGACAATTGCAGTAGTTTGATCAACCTCTGTCATCTGTTCTCCTGCAATTTCAGTGGAGTTTCTTTTTGGTTCTTCCAGAACAAGTTCATTCCCCAATATTTCCTCTTCAGCAACAGAAGAGTTACTTAAGTGGCCATCTTTGTGGTGATCTTCAACACTTTTCTCTAGTTGGTGTTCACCAACTTCTTGTAGATCATTTACCTGAACGCCGTTTCCAGCTTCTAAAGCTCTAAAATTGGTTGATGTTGCTTTAGAAGATGTACGAACACTAGGTTTACTACCACAATTAACAGCTGGGCCTGCATGTATTTTCTGCCCAACCACCCATTGTTGATCACAATTGCTTTCTGGAACATCACTCTTCTTTTCTGGTAATGGCTCATCAGATCTTTCACGTGTTGATTTGCTTACCATTAATGGCACCTCTCTGACCTTGCCTATCATTTCCTGGTCTATGAAATCATCCAGAGCTTGTTTTTTTGACAAAACATACACCTTTGCTTGATGAAATCTTGCAATTGATTGCTTATACAGACAATAGGGGCAATAGAATTTTCCCAAATCATCAAATCTGGCTGGACAACCCATGCACCTTACATGAACTGCTATAGGACAACAACTATCAGCACAAACCAACACTTCTCCACCTTTATCACATTTTATACAAAATTCTTTCCCCGATGGGCTCATTTGTTCCAACAATTTTTTCTTTCTATACCCTCAATGTTTCCATAGGAATTAACACATAGTATCACCAAAGAAGCAGCTTCTTGTTGATGTTTCTACTTTCTAGTACTAACTTAATAGATGATTCTCAATAGCTACTGATGAATCAACCATCCAACCAGAGTCCACTTCAAATCAGGGTTTGCTTCAATCATAGACATGGAAAAACTCCATAAGTCACAGTACAGATCATCTTCCTCTCTTCTAAGAATTCCACGATTAACATCAGACAAAGCATACAAATATATAAGTGTTGACAAAATAGTCACTAATTAACTTAAACTACAGCTCACTCTCTGATAATTAATGACCAATGGTATATGAAATTAGTTCTTTTTAAGTTTAATATACTTAAACTATAGCTTAATCCTTGTAATACAGCTTTCCCTTTAATTCTTCAGAAGCTCAAAATCCTAAATATGAAACCTATATTCTTCAGAACTAGGAGTATTAAACAATTCATAATTTCAGCTCCGTTCTTAATAATATTGCAGAGTTAAACTAAGACCATTAAAACCGGAGAGACAGAGTAACAAAGCAATGCTGATCTCAAGCTAGAACTAAAATTTACAGTGGAATTCAAATTAATTTATTTCAAACTATACACTTAAACAGTAAGAAATTGAAATACGTTCAATCTACCATGCTTCAATCCAAGTATCAACAATCAGACTGTTTTTAATTTTTACTACAGAAAATATCAATAAATTCAATTTTTTTTTAGGATAATTCAGAAAAATATAACACATACGAATTAAGGCTCTCTTCAAGCACGAACAGATTGAAACAACCTACAACTTGTAATCTACCAGTAAAAAGTGTCGGAAATTGAGCTTTTTCTCAGCGATATAGAAATAATCAGCTAGAGCGAGAAAGTCGGAGAGAGAGAGAGAGAGAGTGAAGAGAACTTACCGGTGGTATCACCGGAGGAGAACCACCGAGAGGAATTCGTCGAGTCTACTGTTACTGCGGATCGCTCAATTCAAAATTTAAAGTTGGCAGGCCGAAATTTGGGCCAGAATTCAGTATCCTTTTGGTACCTGTGGGCCGTGAGAGCCCAATCACGTAGAAAATGGGGAAAGTGCACGTATAGCCGATTTTGGGATTACCATTTAAATCATGATCATTATTTATACACTTAACTCGAAACTTCTGGCTTACGAGATTGAAGTATAAATATTTGTATATCAAGTTCGACTTGTTAAGGCCAAACTTCCGTTAATTGTGCCTGGAGATTGGCTTGCCAAGACTAAATGTGTTGAGATTCTAGACATGTATGTAGTAATAGTAATTTTAATATTAAAAGCTTTTACCTGATTATGATTATAATTTAAAAAAATAAATGATTACGTCTTTTTACATGACACCGTACAAATAGAGTATGGAGTGAAATTACTTCGAAATGATACGATGTGACTACTTTTAGCTAGCTTGTAAAATTCTACTTAAATGTAATAATTTTCAAGCTTATAACAAAGACATCACTTTCTTTTGTTTTATTTATGTGGACTCTTTCAAATATGAGTGAAGATGAACATATAAACGATCTGGCTTTCGGGCCCAGCCCAAGAAATGTGGGTCATTTGATTTGCCGACTTTTTTTTGTGGTAGTCTTTAATTCACGTCCTTCGTAAAAAATATAAAAATAAGTTTAGAGGTCATAAGATTATAGTTTCGTATCATTATATCACACAAGTTCTATTCAACATGACTTCAATTTTTAATTTTTTTTATGTTTTACTAAGTATAAATTCAATTACTAAAATACAAAAATTAAAGATCAGACCATTTTTTAAAAAACGTGTGATTTTATGAGAATATATACCTTTCCTCAAAGTCTTGTAAAGCCAGCTTTCAATTACCTTTGCATCTGCTGTAAATTTCCACAATAATAGCTACAAGGAAAAATTAAAGGTCTTTTGCTTAAACAACAAGTTCTTGTAGAATATTATTGGTAGTGACATGACATGACCCCTCATCTATCGTGAATAATGTCAATCGATCTTTAATTTTGATAGACAAAATTATTTTAATTTTTATATTAATGAGAAAAACCAAATTAATAGAAATAGTCAATAAATGAATATGTACATCAAGTTGAAACGTACATCATGTTATTAAATAAGATTTAATAGTTAACTATGAGGAGTCGAGCCAGCTTGGAGTTAGAAGTTCATTTGAATCTCTCTATGTGAAAATTTACTTTATAATATATATATTGAACTTCATTCTATTAGTTTATGTATTTACTTCTTTATATTCTGAAGAAAGAAGTATGGAAAACACTCTTATACTCTACGCAAATGATTAGTTTCATTTGAATTATTCATAATCTTAAAAACACTCTTTTACTTGATTTACTTAACTTAAATACATCCCAATCTTGCAACATGAGTGAAATACAACCCTTAATTCTCACAAAGTTTAGGATTGCTTTCAACATTTCTCTCGATTTTTTATTCAGAGCCCATGTTCTTGCTGATCACTTACGATGTCATGTGACACATCAATGATGTATGTAAGTTTAGTTAGAGGGTGTTTGGATTGACATAAAAGTTGATCAAACTTACTTTTAAGTTAGTTTTTGACTTCTGGAAGTGTTTGACAAATATAAAAAATAACTTAAAATAAGTAAAAAAATGACCTAAAATAAGTTACGAAATGTTTGGTAAGGTAAAAAATGGCTTAAAATAAGTTAGAAACCAAAAGTAGGTCTCCCCCCAACTTTTTATTTTTTGACTTAATAGTTATTTCAGTTTGACTTTTTATTTTTGACTTAAAAGCTATTTTTTTAAGTCAATCCAAACGGGCTCTTAGACACGTAGAAGAGTATTTTCAAGACTGTCAATATTTCAGGACAAAATAAATAATTTACATCAAATTCAGTATTTTTAATACTTTTGAAATTATTTAGTGAAAATTTTGATTCCGCAGCGATTAAGTACCACCTGTTGACATTGGAGTTTGATCTACTAAAGGCTATGATGCTTTGTTATTTCTGATCCATCAATAACCAACTATACCAACCGCCCCTTTCTCTCACCATTTTGTACCGTAAGCTACGCCAAAGCAACATAAAGAAATTAACTAAGACAAAGAGGAAAAAAAAAGTTTCAATCTTTGACAAAGATAGGGGAAAGTAAGTGTAAATTTTTGCAAAGAAAGAAACTTTGGTTGCAGTGAAAAAATAAAATCTCTTGTGAAGATTCTTTAATTTTGTTTGACAATAAATCAAAAGAGAACATGCATATCACGAATTGGGTTTTCTAGCACAATTTGTTGACCTTTACAGGTAATAAATATTCTTTTTTTGGTAAATTAATCTGACCCATAAGCCTTTCTTGATATTTATTGATCTTTTGCTGATTGCAAAAAAATTAATTTTTTTTTTGGGTTTGAATTTTTATTGGCAGCTAGTTATGCAAATGGTTGGAGATGAAAATTTTTCTGTTTTCTCAGCTGAGCAGAATAATTAGTGGATGGCTAAAGATTCACAATTTTCAGGGGGAAAATCCCATCTTGAAGTGAGTTTTTCTTCCCTTCTCCTAATTAGTGGACAAGTTATATGGTCCTTCCTGCCTCCTGTACAATAGACTCTTGTGGTTTGGTCGCGCGGAAACTTAGTGCACCCGGCCATTGTTATGTTAAATTTAGAAAAAATTATGATTATGAAGAGCAAATTGATGTTAAATAAATCGAATTCCTTGTTAGTTTGCCATTGCACAACTTGGAAGGTTTTATGTTTTCTATCCTTGCTAATCATTCATTGACATTCTATTAACCTAAGTTGCTCAAGACTCGGGTGCGGATTCTAGAGGTTGTATTCTTCATGATCTAACTTTAAGATTCGGAGACACATGTGCAGTGATTCTGCTACAAATAATTCAAATATCTAAAAATATAGTTATATAACCTAAATTATGAGATATTATGAGGAAAACTTGAGGAGGAAATATTGATCAAGAGGAGAATCTCTAAGGAGATAAAAGGAAAATGAAAGAGAAATTTATATATATAAGGTATTCCATTTTCTTCAATTTCACCTTAGCTTTTCTTTTAATTAAATCTGTCTGGAATTTCTCTGTTGATTTTAGTCAAAGTACCCAAGATAGGTAGACTAGATCGGGTACAGATCCCACACCCACACCCATGTCGTGTCAACACGGGTGTGACACCAAAAGTGAAGAGTCCGAGCAACTTAACTATTAACTACCATGTCTTTCTTGTCCTTTTGATAAATCAAATTAATGTTTATTCATTGAATGCACCAAGTCGGTGTGAAAAGTATGAACAAGGCGAATGAGTGGCTCGATTTGAGGAACTTTTCTTATGCTTGTGAAATAACATTATATTTTTCTGTCTATTTTAGGATTCTAGTCTGCATAGTGACCAAAAATATCATAGAGGCTACACCTTTTGGCCTTCTTTTATCTTATTCTAATGAAGGAATGCTGGCTAAACAGATGGGATCACTAGAAGGAAGAGCGGTACTTCAGCTTGAGGATGAGAATCTTGTGGACTCTAAGCATAATGATAGGAGGACATCTTCTATGGATGCCACTCCTCAAATATCCGTTTTTGATACCGATACAGATGGTGTCAGTTGTAAATGTATGTGGAATAGTATACTAAGGCAGATGCACATAGTTTTGTTCTCCAAGAAGTTAAACCTACTTATTCCGTGCGGTCCTTTAGCAATGCTTGTTGATACGTTAACTGATCATCATGTAAGTTGCAAAACTGTTTCCAGTCCGGTATCTTTTATTCTTAAAAGAGCTTAATTACTCACATTACTTTTCTCTTGTTCTTTTCTGTTATGACTTTTTCAGGGATGGATCTTTTTTCTTAGCTTGTTAGGAATCATACCCCTTGCAGAGCGTTTAGGTTGGGCGACAGAGTAATTCTCTAACTCAGTATCTACAGTACTTTGTATGAGCCGTACATTTAGGATCAAGGGGAATGCATTTGTTGTTGGCAAAGGACTTGTCACCGTTTAATTTAAAATTTCAGAATTAGTGTCTATTAATGACAATAAAATGGAAGTTTGGGCTACAATGCATTTACACTTATTCATGCTCCTATTTAGCTGTATGGATAATTTGGAAAATGTATAGCTTTTAAATTATGGTCTCTATTAAGTTGATGACATGGAACTTTGTATTTGAACAATAAGCTGAAGGTGATGATTTATGTAACTTAAAAGCTGTTTATAGTATTTACACTTCTCATAATTGATGTTTTTTTGGTTTTCCATTTATGTAGGCAGCTGGCTTTCTATACAGGGCCAACAGGTAATTTCTTCATATCATTGATGTAAGTACGTAATTTTCATATACTTGACTCAAAGGTCAATTTTCTTCTGTAACTTTGCAGTTGGAGGACTTCTAAATGCAACTTTTGGTAACGCAACAGAGCTAATAATATCAATGTATGCACTGAGAAGGGGTATGATTCGTGTGGTTCAACAGTCATTATTAGGATCAATACTGTCGAATACGTTACTAGTTCTTGGATGTGCATTTTTTGCCGGTGGAATTGTTCATTCCACTAAGGACCAGCTTTTTGACAAGGTAGATTATGTCATTATGCTACCATATCTATATGACCCGAAAATCAATATCAGTTTAGTTCAAATTGTATCTCACGACCACGATAGCAAGTCATGACATTCTCAGAGTTTTCGTTGTCAGGGAAATGCAGTGATGAATTCAGGGTTGCTTCTGATGGCAGTGATGGGCCTACTGTTCCCTGCTGTCCTCCATTTTACACACACCGAGTTGCATTTTGGGAAGTCAGAACTGGCACTTTCCCGGTTTAGCAGCTGCGTAATGCTTGTAGCATATGGTGCATACCTGTTTTATCAGCTGACTAGTCAGAATAGTCTTTACATGCCTCTTGCTGAGGTTGGGGTTCTTTATTCTCACTGCACTTTTTTGTGTTTAATGTTGCTGACACTAGATACAGAACTGGTTGTTGAAACTGGAAAATAAAAAGTT